ACACCTCTTCTCATAAATAAGTGTAGTTCATTAAGTATTAAAATGAATCACTATTTAAATCAACATACTCATGTTAGGCTTCTATTTTCTGTTAGGTTTGGTCACTGTAGTTAATGTTCAACCTAAATTAAATGTCTTTAATCATTGTCAATGTAACATCTGCAGGAGAAATAACAAACTCTTAAAAAGACAAATGGACTTGTGTCTTAACTCGTCCAGCTGGATCAGAGACTGGAACATGTTCTGGGGATTAAAGGAACAGAGCGAAGATGGTTTCAGTTGCACTTATCAGATCAATCTTAACAATGACTCTTCCATGCACACTAACGGTAGTCATGGAGTTCCACAAGGTTCTGAACTGGGACCGATACTTTTCACTTTATGTACGATTCGTTCAGGAAGCACATAAAACTCACATCCTTCTTGTTGTTTGATGGGAAATGGACTAAAGTACACGCCAAATATATTCTTTTTATTTTTGGTAGTTCTTATCACAGTGTTTAATTAGTGACTGACAGATGAAACTGACCTCGTTTATAACAGCTCCCTCCTCTTGATTGTGACTAGCTGTCTCCAAATTAGCAAGATGTCAGTTTTTGTATCCAGGACATTTTAGCTTCATTTCTGGACAGTAGGGAGACACGTCACACATCTTCATATACAGTCTATGGTCCTGCTTTATAATAGTAACTCGTCCTCTTGGCCTGAGCAGTCTCGTGTTTTTGAATAACAATCAGCAGACCTGTTAGTTTTTTCCTCAGAGGGTCTTTATTTCTCTCTCCCATGATGGCTATGGCAGTAATGTTCTATTACAGTATGTGCTCACAGCTAATAAAGCTCACAATACTGAAAACATGGAAACAATTGCATTTAATGTACATATTAAAATAGAGGTGATGGCACTGAACCCCAAAACCATTTCTGTTTTTATAGATTTTTTATACTCTGAAATATAAACTGCAATTGTAGCATGCACTTAAACTCAACATTATCGAGAATCAGAAAATGACTTAGTAGCTGTGCAAAAATAACTATATAAAATATATTGCTTTTACAATTAACCAAGCCATCGGCGCTGTAAATAAATTAAACTAGACAGCAACAACAAGCAGGTACAGAATAGGATTTCAGTTGAATGTTAATGGAGATTTATATAATGTACAAACATATTTAACAAATGCTTTTTTTTAGAACGTTTAAACACCATTTGAACAACATTGTGCATAAAACTCAAAATACACAAGTCTGAACTTGTCAATACACAGAACACAGACCTTCACTGAAAAGAAGGAAAAGTACTTATTTATAATAATATACACAAGGATCTATAACATCCTTCGTAAAACACAGGAATGCCCGTCCTTTAGACTTTCTGTGACCTTCAGTGAGGACTTCCTCTTCTCTACTTCTCTCAGCACCATGGACGTAATGAACACAGTTCAAAGCTCAATTTCCATTCACTCAGAACTGTTCTATAATAACATGAAGCTGGAACTGAAAGTGTTGATTAAGCGGCCTAACTGTATATAAAGTGCTCACTGTCACCGTTTTGTTTTGGTGAGGACTGTACAGTACACATCCGAATACTTCTTTCAGTGCAACGTCTCCAGCTCGGCTGAACGATGGCGGACGTGTCATGAATCAAGCCGACGGCCACAAGCGACAGGTTGGGAGGAGAGAAATCTGGAGCATTCGGTACACTGCCCGCGGCCTGTGTCCACACAGGGAATCAAACCGTTTGCAAACTGTATTTCTAACAAGGCTAAAATGTGAGACTATATTCTGTCTGGGGCTGGGTTAAAAAAATGTAATCAACCTTTCCACTTTAGATTTTTGCTAGTATGTGTGTGCATTATGGACTGTACGAGAGAATAAACATCTCTACACATTCGACTCTATAAAAGATCGCTTTGGTTTCATCGAAGCTACGTGAATGGCAGGATTATCTCGGACTAAGCCCGGCTGCTTGGGCTTACTGTCCATGAACGTGTGCGGCATAGCCAGTGCTGGCTTGGACTCTTTGTAACAGTTGGCGGCTTGGCAGAATTTCTCGGTGAATTCCTTGGCGTGGATTCCATTTTGTAAGATACTCATCGTCATAGCACCCGGAGGTGCTGGAGGTTTGTGCTGCTCCTGGTAAGTGCTCACTGTTTTCGCGTAAGGCAGCTCACAGTCGACGGGCTGCAGGCCCATTGCTGACATGTTGTGACAAACTAGCCCGTCGGAGGAGTGGTTGAGCCAGCTGCGGCTGGCAGACTGCAGACTCTGGTGACTCTGCAGGCCGAGGTGTGGCTGAATTTGCTGCTGTTGGAGCTGCTGCTGAAAGCGAGCCGTCTTGTCAGTTACACCCATGAAGGGTCTGGGTTTGTACTCTGCTGCAGAGCTGGCCTGTTGGTTGTGCTTTGTCTTGGAGCGGACGTCGGGGCCCAGCTTGCCGCTATCTGATAGACTGCTGCTGGACGCCAGGCTGCTGGTGGAGCTGGACACATGCATGCTGCTGCTGCTTCCTCCTCCTCCCTGCGATCCTCCTGCACCACACATGCCGTCCTTTCCTATGTCAGAGTGGTTTCCCTGGAGTCCAGGACCCGAGCAGGCCAACGCATCTAGAGAGGATACAGAGTGACAAGACAACCTGTCTTGCCCCACACCTTTGGAGGTGCTGCTGCAGGATGAGTATGAGACCTGCTGTGAATGGAGGCTCTCGTTTTCACAACTGTGACCCATAGAGGTGGAAGCAGCTGCCAGCGACACGCGGTTCCCGTACACGGGCTCGTCAGCCGTAGGAGGCAGAGGGCTGATGTCGATGCCTGGTCCCGGCTTCAGCATGCTAGACATGTGTCGGCTGGGTAAGGGACTGGAGGGAGCGTACTGAGATTTGGACCCTCCTGGGCGGCCCCCTACGGCCCCAGCCTGCATGGAGCTCATATGCTGGTTGGTCTTGACGATCTGGGCCTGCTTGGTCGGCTGTAGAACTAGGCCCTGCTGGGCCAGTGCCTCCCTGTGCTCTCGAGGATACCGGTGAGGGGGCAGTCTGCTGGGGCCTGGGGGTGAGTTGGGGGTCTGACTCTGATGTCCCATACTGTTGCTGACAGGCTCCGAGGGTAAGACTCTGTTGTAGGAGTGACTGTTGTGTGACCAGCATGCTTCAGCTGTCCTGGCGTGCTGCGAGGCTGCTGCCGTCTCCTCCTCCTCTTCCTCCTCTTCCAGGATGTCTCTTTGGCCTTCCACGCTCCTGGCGAGGCTGTGCTCTGAGGGCTCGTCCTGTCCTTCATCTTGCTCCTGGTCAGACTCATGGCCCCCTGACGCCTGGCTGGAAGCAGCTGCAGCCCCAGCGAGGCCACCTTTGGTCTGCAAGCGCTGCATCTGTTTGCACTCGTCCTCCACTCGAGCCAGTAAGCGGCGGATTTCTCGGTTATTGGGACACAGCTTGGCTGCTTCGTGCAGGTCAGCCAGGGCTGCTGAAAACTGCCTGTTACATCAGAGAGGAGAAAGACATGGTCACCAGATCCAGAAGATATTTATCACCAACAGCTACAACTACAGACGCTGGTCTGGGGCTGTGCTGAATAGTTTACCTGCTGCTTCTTTTAGCTCTAGCACGAGCGTAGTAGGCCTCATAGGATTTGGGTTTCAGCTCCAGTGCTTTTGTTGCAAACTCCTCAGCCATCCCGAAATCCTGCAAGATGAGGAAAATTAATACATTTATTTTACGGTTAACAATTACAGGGACAATGCTCATTAATAAAGAATTCTATAAATGAGCCAGTTTAGCCATTATGGACAAATACAAAATTAGACATGCACACTTCATAATAACACATATAACATATAACCTATGATACCTAGATGAAAATATTCTTTGACATTCTGATCCCTGT